TATATATATATATATATATATATATATATATATAGATAAATAAGTAAATGCAAATATACATAATAATCCAAATTGTGTTTTTTTATCATTAATTTATTTAATCTGGAGTAATATTACTTATTTTTTAGAATTATTACTTATAATCAATAAAAATCCTACTATTCCAGATTGTAAGGCAACACAATAAAAAAAAAAAGCAAGGGGTCAGTACTTTGGCAACTGGCTGTATCTAAATTGTCTCTGCGTCTTGTAGGTCCTCACAATGTTTGAAGATAACTATCCTGAAGGGCTGAAGAGGGTGTTACTCATTAAAGGTATCTCAGCTTTGTTTGCTTGTTTGTTTGTTTGTTTGTTTTCAGAGTTGTGTTCATTTTTAATGCTGAGGTCCTTTTCATTTTTTTTCGTAGCGCCCAAACTGTTTCCAGTGGCCTACAACCTCATCAAACACTTTATGTGTGAGGAAACAAGACGCAAGATCCAGGTTTTAGGAAGTAAGACGATTCTTCGCTCTCCCACAGCAACATGTGACTGTGCATGATGGTGGATCTGGTCCCATTTTAAGGGCAGCAGGAGCTCGGTGGTCAGCACTGCAGTCATAATTTACAGATTTGAGATGAGGTTGTGTCAGGAAGGCCGTCTGGAGTAAAACTAATGCAAACCCCTGCAGAAGGGAGCAGCCACGTTTACGCTCCGACGTTTATCATGGGCACAAATATATCAATTTTATTAATTTGAGCCACGCCTCCTTCTTATTAGCTTATTATTATACAGGCCACTTCACTTCCTGCTTTTAAATCTCTTTTAAAAACTCATCTGTTTTAAATGACTTTTAACCCAGTGTGAGGTGTTTTGTTATTTTTATCGTTTTGTGTTTTATGTTTAATTTCTTTTGATGTTTTTAAATTATTTTCTCGTCTACCATCGTCTTTTATTGTTCAGCGCTTTAGCAATAACTATTATTTTTAAATGTGCTTTATAAACAAATTTGGCTAGACTTATTGTGGTGGAGGTGTTTGAGCACCTGGATGATTCTAGGAGCTGTTGGGGGCAATGGTAGGGTCTCCCAGGACAGACTGGTTTTAGGTGACAGGCCAGACAAAGAGTGATTCCAAAAACTGATATGGACAGAGAACAGCAAGAACCTCAGGGTCTCTTGCCCGGACGTGGGTTACCAGGGCCCCACCCTGGTGCCAGACCTGGGGGAGGGGCTTGTCGGCGAGCTCCTAGTGACTGGATCTTTTCCCATGGGGAAGCCCAAAGGAGCAACAGTCTTTCTGTGGACCCACCACCTGCAGGAGGGACCATATGAGTTGGATGCAAAGTGCCATGGGGTGTAGCCAAAAGTGGGAGCCTTGTCGTTCTGACCCGGTCTTATCAAAACTGGCTCTTGGGCCATGGACCATCACCTCTGTGGTGGGGAAGGAGCCTGAGCTTGTGTGTGAGGTTGAGAGGTACCAACTGGATATAATTGGGCTCACCTCGATGCACAGCATGCTGGAACTGATCTCCTTGAGTGGGGCTGGACCTTTTTCCACTCTGGAGTTGCCCATGGTGGGAGGCGTCGAGCTGGTGTGGGTTTACTTGTAGCCCCACGCCTTGGTGTCTGTGCGTTGGAGTTTTCCCCGGGAGTTGAGAGGGTAGCTTCCCTGCACCTTCGGGTGGTGGGACAGGGTCTGACAGTTATTTGTACCTACGCCAAATAACAGTTTAGAGTATGCAGCCTTCTTGGACTCTTTAACGGGTGCTGGAAGGTGCTCCAGCTGGGGACTCCTTTATTCTGCTGGAGGACTTCAATGCCTTGTGGGGAATGATAATACCACCTTGGGGGCCGTTATGGGGAGAAACTGCCTCTCTGATCTGAACCTGCGTTGTTTTGTTGTTGAACTTCTGTGCTGGTCATAGTTCGTCCATCACAAACACCATGTGTCCTTAAGTGCACATGGCACTAGGATACACTAGGCCACAGATCCCAACTGTTATGAAGTTTCAATTATTTAGCTGTTGATTTGAAGTGAAAGTGAATAATTTTGGAGGTAGTCCTGATGTTTTATTTGTCTTTGCACTTTTTGCAGTGTACAAGTACCACAGCATGATGCTACCACCACCATGCTTTACAGTTGCTACAGTGTTTTTAGGTTTGAAACCTCCAACTTGACTCCTCCCAACATACTTTGTGTCATTGAGGTCAAATAGCTTTTTTTTTTTTTTTTTTTGTCACACATGACCATAAAGCTTTTCTCCTGAAGGCATCTGACGTCCATCAAGCATGAAAGTGTCACTTTTGGAGCAGGAGCTTCGTTCTTGGTCCTCATCCTCTCAGTCCATGATGTTGTTAAACTGGCTTCACTGTGGACACTGGTGTTCCAGATGTTTCCAAATCATAGCTACTTGAGCCTTGGTGGTTCTTGTTCCTGAACATTCTAACCAAAGTTCTTTAATCTCAAGTTGACATGAGTATTAGTCACTCAGAGTGCTGTCAAACGTTTTTTATGTTGGCAAAGACAAACGTCAGTCATGACCACGAACAGGAAGTTATTAAGCCTTGTCAAGTTAAGACGCGGAACAACTTTCAGCACCACCTATTAAAAGATTTAGGTGAATGTACATATTTAAGCCTGTATGTATTGATGACCCTGTGTGGATGTGAGAAAGTCAACAGTAGTTTCATTCTTGTGCACCTAGTTCTTGTTTTTTTTATCAATAAAGTTGTATATTGTTTGAACCATTGCAACAGCTTCCTAAAATTATCGCCTAACTCTTATAAAAAAAAAGTTTTTTCACTTTTTCAACACAAAAAACTTCACCAATAATTTAACATTTGACATTTATTGATAATTTCACTCAGTTTGCCAAAAACTGACTCAGGTGATTGTTATAGAAAGTTAAATGAAAGCCCCAAATAATAAATTCATGGCTGTAATGAGTGGATGTAAACCTCTGACTGAAACAATACCTTAGTGGATTTGCATTAAATAATACTTGTTTGTTTGCAGGTAACTGGCCTGAAGTCTTACAAAAACACATTGACCCAGATGAGCTTCCTGTGTTCTACGGAGGAAACCTGACCGACCCGGATGGAGACCCTCGCTGCACAACCATGGTGAGAACAGAGCATTAACGATGTTCTGCTTGTCTCAAAGACTCTGTCTGAACCCACTCATGTTATGCACGCTCATAGATAAATTATGGAGGTGAGGTCCCAAGGTCGTATTACGTGCAGGACAGTCTGAAGGTCGAGTACGACAGAAGCATTACAATTGGCCGCGGCTCCAGCTTCCAGCTGGAGTTTGACATCACTGCTCCCAGCAGCCTCCTGAGGTACAACAGCATGATCTGAATCATGTCAGATAATACAGATACAGACATTTTGATGTCCATCTGTGGCCAAAAGTTTGGGCCATCTATGAATGCATTCCCTTTACCATTTTCTGATGGCTACATGCAGCAGGCGGTGGAAGTGCAACTTGCTAACGGACATTTAACCAAACAGAAGTGGTGTTTTGTGTTTATTTAAGTCTGTTTGTCTGATTATGATGATCACGATTAAACTTCTGACAGCAGCTGTGAGTGATCTGAAAATATGATGCGTTGCTTGGTTTCCTTACAGGTGGCAGTTTGCCAGCGACGGCGCTGACATTGGGTTTGGAGTGTACAGGCGGACCAAGGAGGGCAGTGGTCAGAAGGTGGCTGAGATGATGCAGGTTCTTCCCAGCGAACGCTACAACGCCCACATGGTTCCTGAAGACAGCTGCCTCACCTGCTCTGAGCCAGGAGTCTGTGAGTGGCGACACCACAGAGCACATCAGAATCCTAGACATTAAATTTGAACTTTCCAAATGTCTTTGAACACACCACCTTGGTCATTACTGTCCGGTAATCCCACCCATCCTGTTCTGTCAAAGCACAGCTTACGTATTTCAATTGTCGGCCATGCCAGTTGCATCACTGTTTCAGGATTGGCACAAGAACTGCGTGCAACAGTCGCAAATTCTAAAAGTTCACAATTTTATTGAAGGCTCGTTGTCAGACGCTTGTGCGACATGTAAGCTATGCAAATACTGCACTGTTTGCAGACGACACTGTGATTATTGTGATTTAAAAATCAGTCTGATTCTCTGTTTTATCCAGGAATCCTCTACCAAGTTTTTATGCATATGTTACATTCACCATTACCTAAAAAAATGGCCATTATATAACATAAACATGACCGTGCAATCTTCAGGCCTTCAGCTCTGATGCTCTGTAATCCAGCCATACTCTGTAAGCCCAGCTGTTCTCTGTTGCTGACTCTGTCCTCTGTTTTATGCAGATGTGCTGTGTTTTGACAACAGCTACAGCTACCTTCAGTCCAAGAAGGTGAGCTACAAAGTTGAGATTGTTCCTCCTTCAGACGGGAGGCTGCAGTGAGGACATCCATACCTGAAGCAACAAGTTCCCACCGCCAGAATCTGTCAAAATGTAGTTACTCAACAGCTGCAATGACCACCATCTTTTGTCTTCAGTGCACTTTATATTATCATGTCATCATCATCAACTTTATTTATAAAGCGCTTTACATCATGTAATTGTTTACAGTCTGGAGTAAATACATGATTGGTCCAAAGATAAACCAGTACTATGAGAGCAGTGCAAGTAAAACAAAAAAGTTGTGACAAAAACAACAATCTGAACTAAAAAGCTCAAAACAAGCAACACATGCCTTAGAGTTGTAAAAATACAAATTATAAGTTGCAGCTATGATGAAACATGTCTTTTGTTTCACGACAATTAATTAAAAAAATACACCTAAACGTGAATTCTGCAGCCAACCAGTAGAGGACAGACGCCAGGTACTGGTTGATTGACTGGTTGTGTTTTATCACTCATTTTGGATTTCAAAACATTTATGTTAATAGAAATGCTCTTGATGCTTGACAATCCATCAGAGAATTAAAAATATCAATTTGCATCTAAAAAAAATAAAATAAAAACATAAATAAAACTTTGGACTGGTTTGTATTATACTGCCACCTACTGGCAACTCCTGGTTCTGTCAGGGTCTGCTTGCAGCTCTTTGATTTGATTGAACTTTGTGACAGACCCTCTGAGTATTATCTTCAAAGTGCTTGCAGAAGTTTTCACAGGTAGTTTTGTGCAACAACACATCTGTGGTGTGAAGTCTGTCAAATGACACAAGTGGGGTGAAAAGGAACCCATTGTTTGTTGGTTCCATGTTAACTCATAAAGCACTAATTTATGCTGCAAAATTATTGAAATACTTTATAATATAAAATGTATAATAGATAGAGTTGAATTATATTGTAATTGTTGTTTTTTATGTTTTTGTTCTATTGTTATTGGTCAAATTTGTAGCTTAATTCAAAGGTTAAAAAGTGGGTGTTAACCTCAGGATGAATGATGTTGTCATATGAAAGTCCACCCTCTTTTAGGATTTTACAAGATTTTAATGATCTGGTCTTCACCAGTTCTAAAAGTATTCAGTTCCAAGTGACAGAAGGCCACAACAGATCCCTCCATATTATTAGTTATTAAATAAAAACAAAGCCAAAATGGAAAAACTGACTAAAGAAGAGATGTTTGGTCCTAACGCACCATGTTTGGAGAAATTCAAATGAACCAAATCAGCACAAACTCCTCATGACAACTGTCAAGCACGGTGGTGGAGGGATATTGATTTGGGCTTCTAAATGTGAGTCCATCTGTCTGACAGCTGAAGCTCGGACCAAACTGGGCCATGATGCAACAGAACAACGACCAAACGCAGCAGCTAATCTACAAAAAGTGACTGAAGACAACTGAGGTGTCCTCAGCCTGGACCAGTTCCCATGGTGGGACCATAGGAGAGCTGAAGAGATGGCTGCCCACAAACCTCCACGAACTGAAGAAATGTAAAGCAGAGAGGGGCAAAATTCCTCCACAATGATTTAAGAAGTTGAATAAATTGTAGAGAAAATAACTGCTGAACGTTATTACAGCTAGAGGAGGGTCTGGACTTGTTTTTACACAGCTTTTCCATCTTGACCTGTTTTTAGTCAAATAAACGTGATTCTGTGAATCTTAATAATTGGCAATTTAGCAGCATTTTGTTTTGTAAATTCAGGACAAAAGCAAAATAACTTTAATTTAGAAGGATTTGTTCCGTCTGCACTTCCGATTCATCCGATGCTGAAAGAGCCGTTTCTCCTCAGAAATCCATGTCTGTTTGAAGAGATGTGCTACTATGGATGGATGAGAGTGCGTGGGCCCCTGGGCACAGCACAGACTTTAAAAAAGACCCAAACCCTCAGAAATGGCATAAATAAAACGGTTCTAAAACCACTGTTACATCTGTGCATTTTTGTTCAGTTGATTTAAAGTCTTCTTGTGAATTGTCCTTTATGACATTTCTGATTTTCTGTAGCAGTTATTGAATTTTAATGTTAATTTTCAAGGTGCGCATGTGTGTTTATAATGTTAGTCACACTGCTTGTGATATTGTGCTTGTTTTCGCTTTGTGGTATTTTAAATTTGTAATTGTTTGAAGATGTAATGTTTTTGGTATTCTGGAGCCTGTGCTCCTCAGGTCCCTCTGATAGTTTGGCTGTCTGGACTCGTGCACGGATCTGGTCCTGCCCTGTGATCCGTCCATGCAGCCAAGAGAACAAGGTTTTTGTGTTAATCTGTTGTGTTCAGCCGGATAACATGAAAAAACACACATGGACAGAAAAATGCTCAAAGTTTGCTAGCTTGTTGTTGATGTGTGATATTTTTGTAATTATTTGTTGTACCTTAATTTGTTGCAATAAAATTAAATCTCAGATAAATCGTAAAGTTAGAATCCCAAACTTTTTTATGAAGTTTATTTGGGGATTTTTATTTACAGTAACAACTCTTCAGTACAAGTTGATTCAAATAATGCTAAAAAAAAAAAGACATTGTGTGAAGCCCTATTAAAATGTGGAGGTTGTTTTGGACATAAGTGCAAATGTTATTAATTAATTGATGATCTACAGTATTTAGTATAAATATGGACAGAAATACTAAATGCAAGGCTGAGGATTGACCCAATATTTGCAGTAGCTTTTTTGTTTTATACAAAAATCCTTTGCAATCATTTAATGCTTAGAATGCTAAAACTGACCGAGTTATGTCATTAAGCTGTAGTAGCCAACTTGAATGGGACTGACTCAAAAAGATAATTAGTAGATTCAAAAAAGTTCAAGACAGAAACAACTGGACTTTATTTGTAACCGAGGAGCTTTCTCAATTCAAAGAGCAGCGAGTGTGGAGATAAAATACACACATTCATATGCAGATTGACTTATCACACCTTAACAGTAGGTGTTTGTTAATCTAATTTACAGATATGGCCCCTAATTAGTAAACATAATCATTGATGAATTTTTAAAAAGTTTCATTAAAATCTGTGTTTCGCTTTGGGCCCCACGGTGAACAAACCCAGCTGTGTCCAGCAGGTGGCGCTGTTGGACCAAAACACGTCATAGGATGCGATAAACAACAGCTGATCATTAGAGCCTAATAACAGAACTAACCACCTTAAGATGTTAAAACTCAAATAAAAATGATGAAATGGAGCCTTATGCAGGGAGGTGATGCCCACTGGGGGTAATAAAAGTATAATTTTCTGATTTTTAGACTATTTTTAATTCCTTCATAAACAAACTGCGGAATGCAGAGACGCTAAAAACGAATTCTGTGCAGATCAACTGAACTGCGGAGCTTCAGTTCGGTGCGGCTGTCTCAGCATCCCGGAATGGGCACCGTGCCAGCAGGATGCGGGAGGATGGAGGAGGAGGACAGATGTTTTTACAGCAGCTGGCGCCAGAATCAGGAGGACACCAGCTGTCCGCAGCGGAAACAGCTCCCGCCGCGTGCCGCAGTTCCGCGAACCCAGAGAGGGAGGGGAGGTGAGGGACACCTGTCCCCTGTCCGGTGGGCGGAGTTAACTGCGAGGGGGCAGGGCCGCTCGGACATGAGTAAATGACGTCATCTCCCAGGTCGGTCAGAGAAACAAACATGGCGACAGAATGGAGCGGGCAGCAGGGCTGCGCTCTCACCGTGGTCCTCTGTCTGTGGAGCGCGGTGAGCGGCCGCACCGCGGGCTCCGGCGGCAGCCAGGTGCTCGGCATGCGGCTCGAGAGGAGCGACAAGCCGGCCAGCACCAACGACAACGGAGTCATCCAGGTGACCGAGGAGAGCACCGTGCAGCTCCGGTTCTACGGGGTGCAGCTGCACCCGGGCGCCTGGACCCAGGTCCGCTTCACGGAGCTCGCGGATGGAGGCGGCGGGGACCAGGAGGAGGAAGAAGAGGAGGAGGAGGAGGAGGATGGGGAACAACGGGAGGCGGTGGCGGCGGCCAGGGGAGGCAGCGCGCGCGACAGGTCGTGCGTTGACTTCACGAAGGACATCAGCGTCGGTCACTTCATGAACGTGAGCAGCCGCGGCACGTCGGGGCTGCTCAGCGTGCACGTGAAGCCGCTGCGCAAGAGCGAGCCCTGGAAGGAATACGCGCTGTGCACGCCGAGCGAGGACGGAGCCCGCTGGGTGCTGCTGGGGGACAGCGATGGCAAGGTGCTGGTGGTGGAGGAGAAGAAGTCCCTGCTGCCCATGTGGCTGCAGGTCATCCTCATCTCGTGCCTGCTCGTGCTGTCCGGCATGTTCAGCGGCTTGAACCTGGGCCTCATGGCGCTGGACCCCATGGAGCTGCGCATCGTCCAGAGCTGCGGCACCGACAAGGAGAAGAAGTACGCGCGCAAGATCGAGCCCATCCGCAGCAAGGGGAACTACCTGCTGTGCTCGCTGCTGATGGGGAACGTCCTGGTGAACACCACCCTCACCATCCTCCTGGACGACCTGATCGGCTCCGGGCTGGGGGCGGTGGTGGCCTCCACCATCGGTATCGTCATATTCGGGGAGATCGTCCCTCAGGCGCTGTGTTCCCGCCATGGGTTGGCCGTGGGGGCCAACACCATCATGGTCACCAAGTTCTTCATGCTCCTCACCCTGCCGCTGTCCTTCCCCATCAGCAAGCTGCTGGACTTCCTGCTGGGACAGGAGATCGGCACCGTCTACAACCGGGAGAAGCTGGTGGAGATGCTCAAGGTGACCGAGCCCTACAACGACCTGGATAAGGAGGAGCTCAACATGATCCAGGGGGCTCTGGAGCTCAGGACCAAGACGGTGGAGGATGTGATGACTCCCCTGGCCAACTGCTTTATGATGCAGGCGGACGCGGTGCTGAACTTCAACACCATGTCTGAGATCATGGAGAGCGGCTACACACGCATCCCCGTGTACGACGGCGAAAGGTCCAACATCGTGGACATCCTGTATGTGAAGGACCTGGCCTTCGTGGACCCGGACGACTGCACGCACCTGAAGACCATCACCAAGTTCTACAATCACCCGGTGCACTTTGTGTTTCACGACACCAAGTTGGACGCCATGCTGGAAGAGTTCAAGCAAGGTCAGTGTGTGTGTGTGTGTGCTCATCACCTGCACCTCCCCCCCCCCCCCCCCCCCCCCCCCCCCCCCCCATGCAGTATTGATGATTGGAACATCGGCTGCATGATGTAGGACACCATCACGGTGACACAGCTGCAGCAGCGTTCTACTTTCACGCACCCGTTTATCGTTCTAGGACCATGACCTGACCCTTACCCTAAACATAACCCCTAATCCAAAAATAGTGTTCCTCCATACTAGGACTGGTCTTTCTACTGGTCCTGACAAGTTAGGTGTTTATACTGGAAAAGGTCCTAAAAAGGCAACAAAAACCAGATACACACACACACAACACCTGCAGGTGTGTTGCAGTTACAGACACAATTAAAGACTTAGTCCTTGAAGGAATGCATGTCACTCAGAGTATGTCTTGGGTTCGTGTTGTTCGGTGTATTGTTCTGCACGATGTTTTAGCCGGGCGTTCGTTTAGCGTATATCAGGGCTGTTCAACCAAACTGCTGAGGGGGCCACAGTTTCTGAACGCCAGCAGCTCAGGGCCGGGACATCCAGCTGTTTTTTTAATTTCACTCTGTATTTATACAGGTTAGTCTCACTGACTCACGAGGACTTATTTACAAGAGAGACCTGATTTAAACAAAAAAATGTCGTCATGTAAATAACCCATGTATTACAATGATCTGTTAACCTTTTAAAATTTAAACACTTTGTCAATTTGTTGGTTTTATTACTAGAGATGCGCCGATCTGATACCGATATCGGTCCTGATATCGATTGGGTATCAGTGACAATGTGACCAATCCATGACTGTGCAGATCTATTCATTGTAATTCTATGCTTTGTGCGCTGAGTGACGTCATAATGGAACTGAGTGAACAAATTAAAGGTGTGTTGTTTTGACATGTTTGGCCAAGCTTGTGGAGCTCTTGGTGTGTTTATGTGCGCTGTTCTGGTGCAGTTTTCAATAAATTTGTAATTCAGTACGTTCATGTCTGCACTGGGTTTGTAAGCTCAAACATCCAGGTAGACAACAACAAAAATGGCTAACTCATGTCATCAGGTCCAGATGACATGAGTAAGCACACAACTGACACTTCATCGATTCCGCCCCACACTGCACCACTGCCAGTACCCTTTAGCTTTAAGCTGCTGTATCATACCCATCTGCTCACTACAGACTCATGTTCGTGCTGCTGTTTAATATACCATATTATATTACATTATATCTTAGATCCTTGTATACTGTTTTTTCTTATACTTTATATTTTTGCTATATTTAGGTATAACTGGGACCTTGGGTACACAATTTCATTCCACCTCATGTGCCACATGTGATGTGAATGACAATAAAGAACCTTGAACCTTGAACCCACTCCCACTCAGCCCAGTTTGTGGGACCACCTTGTTTGCGGTTCCAAGCAGTCCGCTCTGAAATGACGATTTTGATGTGAGCAGCCGTTGACTGGTCAGCGGAGCCACTGGACGACCCACCCAGTTAGTGTTTTCTAGTTTCTAGTTCAGCATGGATGCTCCAAAAATCACGCAGTGGGCCAATGGCGAGGTCCAGACCTTTCTGTCTCGACTGGTGAATCTCCACTCTCGGACCTATAAGCAGTGCCGGGCTAAGCTAAACAAGTTCAAACAAGCTGTTTCATATGAAGCTTCCACTCTATTATTATTATTATTATTATTGTTATTATTATTGAATGTCTCTTTTTTTTTCCTTTTCTGGTCATAGACTTTTTCCAATCTTCTTAAGTGTTGTACGCTAAACATTAATAATGTAAAACAATACGGCGTAACAACAGCAGCCCGAACATGAGTCTGCGGTGAGCAGATAGGTGTGAATGAAGACAGCAGCATGAGATAATCAGCAGCATGAGATAATCAGCAGCATGGATAATCAGCAGCATGGATAATCAGCAGCACAGATAAGTCACATATCTCCAATTAAAGTGACGTTACAGTGATTTTCCTGTTTAGGGATTTATGAGTCTAACAGCTTCAAGGATATTTTTATTGTCATACCTGCTCACATTTTCATGTTTATGGTACGAAATTTGGACTCAGGTCCCAGATCAAGAAGCCTAACAATTAACAAATAAATAAATACGAAAAAAGCGTATAAATATATATAATAAATACATTTTAAAAATATAAGATGAAGCTGAATGAAGTGCAGCTCGAGTTCAGCAGTCTGACAGCTGCAGGAAAGAAACTGTTTCTGAGCCTGGGTCTTGCTCTGAATGCTCCTCAGCTGTCTGCTTGAGGGGAGGGGCTGGAACAGACTGTGTGCAGGATGAGTGGAGTCCTTCATGATGCGGAGCGCCCTCTCCCTGCATCGTTA